GCTAATATTGGTGCTGTCCATTTTTCCCTGTACAAATTGAAAATCACTATGCTAATACATTATCTCACAAAGGGCAGTCATAAATAGGAATAGGAAGAGCAAATATTTTGAAATGAATATTCAGTGGACATCTTCCTGTAGAGGTTAGGCATTGTTGGAAATCTTTGTTTCCAAGATTACCCTTTCCTGGACACAACGGTAGGATGGCTCTCCTCTGGACTGAAATGATGGCTCCAGAAAACAATGGCAGAATAATTTATGTGTCCCCCAAACTTTAAATAGTTGTCTTTTACTCCCAGGTCTACAAAATATCTGCCACAAAAACCTTTCACATAAAAGGATATCATGTCACATGTATATTGTTAATGAAACCATGGCAACCAAAAAATGCCACCAGTGTGTCTGTTTCATACACAAATGAGGGGACAGCTGTGGAGTCCACATGTCTGCCAGTAGTATAATAGATGTGAGCTAAGAGAGCCTGGGTCAGAAAATTACAACTCATTTATATTAATCAGAGCTTTCAAATAACATTCTAACCTCTGAGCTATGAAGAGTGTAAATGGAAGGCAATAAGCCACTATAAAAGCAGTTTGCACTCCACAGATTTTAAAACTAAGTGCCTCAAGCTGACACAGCAGCATCTTTAGAGGATGTTCTGAAGTCAGAACAGACAAGACCTTTGGTGACTATCATTGGCAGTTTAAGTTTAGCTTCTGGGTTTCTCAGGCATGATCAGTTCATTAGGTACCGTGGTTCCATGCAAGTTAAATGTTTATGTTAGTTGTGGTGTTGGCTGGACAACTTCCATAAATCTTGTAGCAACCTCACTGATTATGTGATTATGGTAGTTAGTTCTTCCAGCCCTATTCACCCAACTCTGTTACCTTACAAATGAGGAAACAGCATTGGCAGAATGGAGATATTGATCCAAGATCACCTAGCTATGACTGGATAATAGCATGCTTACCAACCAAACAACTGATAAAATTGCAAATAACTTTTACTTTGGCTAAAGCTCTTGAAACATTCAAAAAGTTAAAAAAAATAGTATATGTAAGCCCGCATATTGTTTCTTAAAGAAAAACCTATAACATAAACATGGTGTATATTTTAATTATTCAATAATACGCTTAACAGACAGGGCGCACATAAAGTCTGAAAATATATATCATATTTCCATGGATCGTAATGCAATGTTAAATCATTTACTATGCATTTGTCTATGTTTTGAGACTGTGAGGCTATACTCTAGTACATCCATTAAGTAGGTGAATGGTAATATGCTAAAACAAGAGGATTTAAAAAGCAAACTTCATTTAAGAAGATTTTTAGAATGAGTGGATCCTTTGGTCACTAAAGTATTAAATTTTACAGATAGAGGTTAAATTTGTTACTATTATATGTACTTTGAGCCCAAGCAAGCAAGGATACATGTTTTTCTGACTTTACATATAATTATAATATCATTTTGCATAAAATATTAATCAAAGCTCTTTTCATGAGTTAAAGATACTTGCATCATTTCCAAAAACATATAATTCCAAAGGATATGATGCCAAAATATGATTCTGAAATGGAATTTGTTTTTCCTCCAAATTGGCTTAGTTCAAAATAAGTGCTCAGCATAATTTTTAAAAATACCATATTTGAGCAACTTCACATTAGCGCTCAAATGAATCATTCAGATAACCATTATCTTGTAGCTTAAAAATAAATTTTAAGAACGCATTGTGAAAGTATAGTAAAAATGACATGCATGTCCTATAATTTACCATATTTTTTTATAACTTATGGTTTATTTAAGGTAGCATAAAAGGCCCACCATTCTAATTACTTATTATTTATAGTCAACACTGGTCTGAGAAGTAGCAATATTTCTTTAGTAGGTGGTGTATTCCCAAGTGTGTTACTGCTTAAGAATATGTAGTAATGGCTCTAGCAGTTGAAGTCAAGAAAGTAGCCTTAGCAGGGTCGAACCAGAAAGATCAATGGTTGAGGGTTTTCCTTGCTTTTTGAGAAGTTCAAATACTAACCAGAGCTTCCTGGGGTTATTTTTCAGGATCATGGTCTGTGGTTGGCTCTGGTCTGAGATATTTTATTTAGCAGAATAATCCTTTTCTAATAATTAAGTACTTTATTGCTTTTATTTACCAAGGAGTAAGCTCTAATCTTTCATTGGATTTGTGAAATAAATATTTCACACAGGCAGGATGATAGCCCCAAGATACGGTTTCCCGAATGTGAGGCTTTAGTCACTTTAAAGTCACAAGGTTTGTCTGAAAAAATACCTAGATGATAAATTTACAACCAAATGGTTTACAGTCTAGTGAAACAATGTCAAGTTTCTTTTGTTATCCCTCAACTCCATCAGGAAGAAAGAATCACAAGTTCGAGTGTCAAATAAGTTTATTACAATTATTTGCTACCTTCTAACTTCTATATAGCCGTAAGACAGAAAACGCAAACTTGACTGTAAAATTTTCTCACTTAAATTTGATTCAATTCATTTTTCTCCTCCTGGGAAAATACTACCTTATGTGTAAAAAGCACTGAACCATCAAAAATAACTTAAGGAAAACATGTAAAATAGCAGACTAACATCTGTTGCCCACCCCTCCCCTCAAACACTGAGCCCTCCAAAACAATGTTGTCTTTTTTTTTTTGGTTGTATTTTAATGTCCCTTTCAGTGAATATATAGAACACAGGAGCAAAGGCTGTTCAGTGAATAGGTCCTTTTTCCCTTCAACAGTGTTTGAGACGGACAAAAGAAGAGGCCACTGGGGCTGGTTTGTCAGTAGGTATAATCGCCAGCCTCACGTGCTGCCCACACTGTCTGCCTTTTGTTCAGCGGTCACACAACACCAGGAGGTGAGCAGTGCAGTGTGGTCAATCAGCTAATGTCAGCCAAGGCAGAAAGGTCCTTGCTTTGGAGTCCTTTGCACCACTGCCTCCCAGTTCGTTGTGTTTGTTTGTTTTATATGGTGACTAGAGATGAGATGGTTTCATCAACTGCAGTTCTGCAAGTTTTGTGACTTAAGAACCAAATGATTTTGATTACAACAGAGAACATACTAATGAGATCTTCATGTCAATGACAACGATCTTCTACCTTATCAAATATATCTGAGGATGAGGAGCAAATGTGAGCAAAAGGTAAAATTAGCAACAACAACCAAAAAACACACACACAAAAGAAAAGAAACTCTAAAAGTTGAGCTTGGATGCAGAAATTACTTCAAGCCACCAGACGTGGATTAAAGTTACTGTATGTTTCCTATAATCATTTTCCTAACCAGCTTAGAATATCTGGCTTGAATGCTGCACAGCCAGGTAAAGAGCAAGCCATACTTTGAGCTTTCAATACAATAGCACTCAAAGAATTTGGCTCTTGAATAAAGGTGTCAGCAAGCCATGGAATTCCCAAACAGAAAAACTCACACTGCGTCTTTATTCTATTTTCTTAAGGTCTATTGTTAACTGAAGACTCCTTGTCTTTTCAAATTCCTTCATGTGAATGGATGAGGCCAGACATCTGCCAGGATCCGCTCACATTTGCATGCAAATCAGAGACTTCAGGACACACATGGCCCTGGAACCAGAAACACTTTTACTCTTGATTTATACTGATCAAAGTACCTTCCTGAACTTTCCACGCCTCTAGACCTAGATTTTAAAAATGAAGTAATGAGCATGTTTGAGTAATATTAATTCTTTAGACTGTTTTGGCAAAGCAAATCGCAAAACAAAACACCAGAAAATCCTACAAGCAAAAGCCCAAATCATCGAATTGGAATTTCATTTTTCATTTATTATCTAGGTCTGGGGATGAAAATACTTACGGTGGGATGGGATTTAGAGAACAGTTCATTTTCCGGACTCTTGGCCATTGCCTGTGTGGTTCAAGTGCCTCATTTACACTCTGGCCATTCATACAGTTATGGTCAAGCACTGTTCTTGGACTTGGGGCTACAGCGGTGAACACAGGGAGACAAGGACCAGTCTCCCGGGGCAGGCGTTACCGCCCAATCTCCCAGTCCCCGTGTCCATGTCAGCTCCCTTGCAACTGTCCCGGGACAGGCTTTCCCACCTGTCCCGGATGCGTGACGGTCCGCAGCTGGACTTTTCCACCCGACTCCATGCCGGGACTCCCTCTACGAGGGGCAGTCGCCGCGGGAACCTAGGAAGTACCGAGTCGGCGGCAGCCCACACCCCTCTCCACGCAGCACAAAGGACAGTGGCTGGCAAACTTTCATGCTCCTGACCCCGGCCGAACTGGGAACGTAGCGCCGCCTCCATTCCTGAAGGGGACCGAGGCTTCCCTGACATTTCCGTACCTCTGGCAAGCCTCCTGAAGCTGCCAACCTTTCTGTGCTCAAAACGTACAGAGTGAGGGTTTTCTCCCTCGCTTAGACTGCCCGATACTTGAGTAGATCCCTAGATTCTTCCTAATGCTTTGACTTCAGTACACCCAATGCTTCGTGAATTACTCCGCTTGCCCCTTTCTCTTACCAAGGGCACCGCCAAGGTATGCTTCCTTTTTTCTCTCGGCATAACCTGCCACCTTGCCTTCCCTTCTCTCAGCCCTCTTTCCAACTCCCTGGGCCCCTCTTCCGCTTCCCCACTTCACATTCCAGCAGTCCTTTCTCCCAATCACCGGGCACCACCCCTCCCACTGGTCCTTCTCTAAAATCCAGCGGGTTCTGCTCCGTCTCTGCCCTTTGCCCATTTTTGTCTAACCTTTCTTGCGAACTATCGCTTTCCCTATTTTTTTCCCCCTCTGTGTGTGGGGGGTGGGGGGAGGACTAGATTCCCGTTTGCAGACTTCGTCATTTTCCCCAATCGCACGAGCCGCGCCCCCTCGTTCCCCTTAGGCCTGTGATCTTATCCCGCGGTTCCCCAGGCCCTCTAAGGGTCCGCCGCGCCACCAAGTTTGCCTCGACTTCCCCTCGCTGTGCCCCACACCTCCCAGCGCAGCCTGGCTCACCAGCGCACTTACCCCGGGGCCCGGCTGGCGGGGGTGTCAGGGTGCGCACGGACCGGGCACCGGCGGCGGCAGCAGCAGGAGCAGGAGGAGAAAGAGGAGGAGAAGAACCGGCTGAGTGGCGCCTCCTTCCCAGCCCGCAGCGCGCACTGGCTCCTCGGGGGACCGCCGGCAGAGCACCAAGACGCGAGGCGAGGCAGCGACACGAGCAAAGCGGCCGCGCGGGGCTGGGCTCAATCCCGCTCTTGGGGGCCGGGGCAGAGGCAGGCAGGATTGGGAAGGAGAGTAGAAGTGGGGTGCAGAGGGCGGGGCAGAGAGCGGCCAGGTCCCGAGGAAGGCTCCGCAAGCGCCTAGGGATGCTGCTGGGCGTTTGCCGCCGCCCGGGCTGACGCCGCCGGCCCCTCTGCCTGCCCGGCGGGCGCTGCAGCCGCGGGCGCACTGGCCTCGCCTAGCTCCCGGCTCGCTGCCGGCGCCCTCGGTGCGCCCCGCTTTGTGCTCCCCGCAGCCCGCGTGCACCTGGTGTAAGCAAAAGCGGTCAGCTGATGGGCTGAGCCCCGATTGGCTGCTCCGCCGTCTCCTCCCCTCCCGTCCGACCCCCTTCCTGGCCTCCCCTTCCCGGCCTCCCGCCTCCCACACCCGCCCTGGCTCAGGCCCGTGCTGGGGCACCATCTGTAGCCCGCCCAACAAAGGCGCAGCGCGGCGGGCCTTGGGCGTCCGGCCCTCGCTGCGCTGCCGCCGCCGCCGCTGCAGGGAGCATCGGCCGCTGCTTTTTGTCTAGGGGACAGCCGACTGCGGCTGAGTTAGGGAGGCAAGGCACACTGCCGCTTAGTAGCAAAAGACAGACCAAAAATCAAACGAAAAACAATGTTAGTGCTTGGAGGCCAGCGGGGCACAATGGGGCTACCTCTCTGCGCAACGCAGAACTCGAGCTTAAGGGCTGAGAAGCAGACAAAATTCAGCCCAGCAGAGAGCCAAGTTTCAGTATGAAATCCGATCCGTGCTCTGAAAATAATGGTGATTCCTTGGGTTGTGTGTAAATGCCTGGGTGGGCAGACGCGTGCAGCTGTGGGACTGGTCAGCTTCCTTGCCGCGGGAAGTAGTATTCTAGCACTTGATGGCGAAGTCACTTTCGATTTAGGGAGGCTGTTAGAAAACATTTCTGAAACTTTGAAATTACAGCTTTCAAATTTATTAGGTGTGAAGGTTGTATTCAAATATGTTGGGGAGGACTGAGAATGGTCTATGTGAAGTGGAGAGTGAGAGAAAGGAGGGAGGGAAGGGTGGGAATGGGTCTTTGGCCACCGCTTGTGAACTGAGCCTCAACTTCAAAGTGGCCAACCCAGAACAAGGCTCAAGAAAAGCCTCCATACTATGTGTTAGGGGAACCTGCTTTATGCTTGAAAACAATTAGTGCCGCAGCAACAATAAAAATAAATAAATGGGACCTGATCAAGTTAAAAAGTTTCTGCACAGCTAAGGACACAATCAAAAGGCAAAGAGACACCTTTCAGTGGGAGAAGATATTTGCATGCTATGACTCGGACAAATGGCTAATAACCAGAATTTGCAAAGAATTCAAATCAACAAAAAAAAAGCAAACAACCCCATTAAAATCCAGGTGAAAAACATGAACAGAATCTTTTCTCATGAGAGGAGATGAATGGCCAAACTCATGAAAAAATGCTTGTCTCTAATTATTAGAGAAATGCAAATCAAAACCACTTTGAGATATCACCCAAGCCTAGTGAGAATGACCCACATCACAAGGCCCCAAAGCAACTGATGCTGGATTGGTGCAAAGGGCACACTCACACTGTGGTAGGACTGCAAACTAGTACAGCCTTTATGGAAAGAAGTATGGAGAGTCCTCCAAGAACTAAAAGTAGACTTTCCATTTGATCCTCAATCCCATTACTTAGGTATTTACTCAAAATAAAAAGAGTCATTTTATTATAAGGACCATTGCATGCAAATGTTTATAGAATCCAATTTGCAAATACAAAGATACAGAAACCATCCAAGTGTCCTTCAACACCTGAATACATTAATAAACTGTGGTATATGCATACCAGAGAATACTGTTCAGCCATAAACAAGATGGAGATTTTGTGTCTTTTGTTACAACTTGGAGGAATTTGGAGAATACTCTCCTAAGTATCACAAGAATGGAAAATTAGGCACCCCATGTCCTCAGTAGTAAGTTGAAACTTTTAGCCTAATAACAATGTGCACACATGAGAGAAAAATTCAATTAAATTCAAGAAGGGGGGAGAGTAGGAGAGGATTTGGTAAGTTCCCACCTAATAGTATAATGTACGAGTAAATGGTGCTTCTCCTGGGTAAAGACCACAACTATAACTGGGGCTTTACAAACACAAAGTGTGTAACCTAATTGTATATATCCTCATATTAATCCAAACTAAATTTTTTAAAAAGAATAAGAAAAGACAATCATTAAGTGCTGAACAACTTTGAGCAGGAGAATGTAGTGATACTTCCTCATGATGTCTGACCTTAGAACTTCTGGGGTATTTGAAAGGATATATTATTAAAGTATCAACTTTTGAATTTTTTGAAGCCACAGGATAAATTCATTAATCGTAATTGTATATTCTTGATCCTGATAGCATTTCTTGCTATCTTGCACAGCTGCCTCATAAGTATTTGATGCTCCTGTATGTTCATGGAACTGTCGCTGGAGAGTCATTAGTATATCTTAGAAGGCTCTAGAGAAAGACAATATTAGGACTCATGTTAGAGGGTCAATGAAGAGAAGAGGAACAAGTAGACTCAAAGGCCCATTGCTGTCTGTAAATGAATAAGATTTAAGAACTTTCAAAGCAAGTTGAGTCTAGAACCTTACCCAAGTTTTATAACATGATTTAGTCTCTTTCCCTCATTTTTTCATTCTGATTATATATGGTATAGAGTTTGTCTGAGAGAAGGAGGAAATACAGAACTTTAATGATCGGGGAAAGGCAAGATGCAGGTTTCTTAAGGAGTCTCTTTTAGGTTTTCCCACCTGCCTTCCTAGGAGTGGAAGAGTAATAGTGCCGTACCCTACAAGGTAGAGCCTCACAGAAGGAAGTCTTGGATGGATAAATGAAGCAATTAATGATGGTGGGGAGTTAGTCCTGGGAGGCAAGATTATTTAACAGCCTCCAGGTTTGGGAAGAGACTTCATGAGAATGGTATGAGTCAGACACCAATGTATGAGCTTTGAGACCAAACCATAGCGCTGCAATTTGTGACCTATGTCCCTGTGGGTGAGTCACTTTATCTCTTTACACCTTATTTTTCTTGGTTCTAAAGTACGGTTTAATAACAATATCTATTCCAAAGGATTACACTGGGTAAGTGAGAGTAAGCCTGTAAAATGCTGAGGGCACTGCTTAGTATATAGTGAGCATTCGACAAATGTAAGCTCTAGGCATTATCAGCCAGGTATTGAAGACTAAAACAAGACGTCAGGTTAGACAGGTGGGATGATGATTCTGCAGAACTGACACATGTGACAGAATATTTTAAAGGCTGTTGCAGCTCCAGTGGAAGAAATGGACTCTGTACTCCTGCCGTTCAATTCATTTCTTTTAAAATCAGCTATCATTTATTTAAACTATAATAATTTCCCTCTTTCCCAAAGCAAAGGTGGGGAAAGAAGTTTTGCCTATTTCTACTTGACCACTCCATTCATCTGGCTCCAGATAGAGGAAGTATTATCATTAGGAAGAAATATATGCATCAGAGATGGGGGGAAGGACTTGACCAGAAGGGTGGGGATTGCTATGAACTGAAAAGGACAAATAAGGCATAGCTCTTCAAAGAGGCTGAAATTTGGTCCAGTTATTGAAAATTTGGTAAATTGCCTAAGTGGTTAATTGGTCCAAATTTTAGAAATTGCCATTTTATAACTGCAAAGGGACTATTTTATTTATTGACTCTTAAAAGCATCGTATCATCAGGATAAGTAAAGAGGAAACACAAGTGAATACACTGGCATAACTAAACCAAGTAATACACACCCTTGTTTCATGCTTCAAGAGCTCCAGTCCATCTGAATTACTCCTAAGTGAGCTTACTCAAAATCCTGGGGTCCTGAGTCTATTAGTTAGTAAAAAGGGACTTTATCTCTGTATTTATTTGTTAGGGCATTGTAGAAGACCTTGAAGGTCCTTGAAGGAGAATGGAAATAGAGAAAGCCCCAGAAGTTCTCGCGATGCCAGGTCTTACTGTCAATATGAAGGGCTCTTGCACCTAGAGTTGACTGCGTTGAGACACTACAAACCCCTCTGGATTCATCCGAAATCCTCTTGAGGTTCTTTACCTTTGGTTTGAAGGAACATTATAATTGGTATTAGCCTAATTGTACTGATCTAGGTGGTAAATAAGGGGAGGAAAAAAGAAAGGTGAAACTTTAGAGGATGATCATATTTGAATAATCTTTAAAAAGAACATCTATCTATATTTTGAGAAGAAAATTATAATTTTCTTATAAAACCACAATTTTCCAATATTAACAGAGAGCTAGTAGTCAATGTTTCTTCCAACCTCTAAACTAATATTATAGTTTTAATATTTAATACTTAGCTTTAACTTCCACCACCAAGCTCTTACAGGTTGATGACTATGCAACTTATAATTATGTGACTGTTATGATCATTGTTAACTTTCATGTCAAACGTGTTATTTCTCTAAAAATTTTTGACAATTGAATGGGTTTACTACACATACATAGTTCCTTTTCTTCCAGTTTTGTATAGCCTGTGAAACCATTCCAACACACACAAAAAGCATTAAAGTAGGATTTTGTAATTAAAATGAGTTCTAGCATTTAAGGCTAATAACTTTATATTGATATGGAACTAAAGTAAAGAATCATCTCAGTTTGTGTGGGATTCTGTGAGCTATAGTCCTTAAGGTCCTCTCAGGAAACCTCCCAGTCTTGGGTAAACCAGGGTGGCTGTTAACTTTAAATAGAGCTAACATTAATAGGTTTGTGGTGCTGCTGCAGTTTTAGTTGAGTTATAGCCTTGCAGATACACCAAATAATGTTTTATGCTAGATGAAGAAAGGATCCTATTCCCA